TTTTATCACTACTACATTCCTCAATTTCTCTCGTGCGTTTTTTGGTTCAAATAACAACAGCAGATAAGTGTACAAAAAGAATTTAGGCAAACGTTCATTGATTCAGTTCAGTTGCTTTTGAAATTATTTCAACTTATGATGCACTGTTTGGAACCACTGTTTGGTGTAGTAATGAATATTACTGGAGTTTTTTCCCAACACCAAATCGTTATTTTTAACACCTCGACACGTGTTTCGATCACCAAGTGACGGACCTATACCAAAGGTATAGGTCCTATACCAAAGGTATAGGTCCGTCATCGGACCAAAGAGCATACTATATAGCTTGTTGAAATAAAATAAAATAATGTTGTTGGGTTTACTGATTACTACATAAGGACACATTGCAAAAATAAATTTGGATAGGCAATATTGTGAAATTAATTTTTATATAGCTGTAAATTGTTTTATATAAACATATATTGTAAAATAATAGATAAGGCAAAATTGTAAAATTAATTTAGGTTGGCATCCCTGGATAGTTTACCTGTGTATAGCATAAATAGGATTAGCTCGTACTAGTCCTTAGTTTTAATTTTCCTCTTTGAAGATGATCACTTGGTGATCGAAACACGTGTCGAGGTGTTAAAAACGATTTGGTGTTGGCAAAAAAACTCCAGTAATATAAATTTTTTCAATTTTACTGTAAAAATGGTTTATTCCATTCCTGAACGAGTTGAATATGTTAAACTTTATTTTCAACGTAATAGTTGTGCTATATTTACTGCTCGCCTCTTCATTAACAGTCATCCCGGGAAAAATGTGAATGATTCGTACGTTGCCAAGATAGTCCAAAAGTTTGTCGATACCGGATCTGTCTGTAATGTGAAACACCAGCCACGGAAACCGATCAGAAATGAAGCAGTGGAAGTCGCTGTTTTGGGACATGTTGAATTGGATCATACTCAAAGTACCCGTCAACTTGCTGCAGCCTCAATACAAAATGGAAATAAAGATAAAAAAAGTCATCACCCGAAGACGATAGTGGATACTAACAATCGAAACGTCGTGAACAACCTTGGCTTGAAATCTCCTAACTTTTTTATTTCAATTTTTATCTTTATTTTCATTTTGAATTTCTTTATTTTTGTTTTTTTCTGTTCAATTGTTTTATTCATTTTGACTTGTATTTTATTTCACTATTATTTCATTTCAGGTTTTTTTGCCTGAATAATTTTTATTTACAGCTATTTAGTTTTAATTCATCTTTTTTTAGTTGTTTCAGGGATTTCAAATCATTTTATATATTAGACAATGGAATTCCGTACTAGTGAAATTCATCATGAAACATTGTCAATCACCTTCAAACAAATATTAGATCCACCATATACTATTGAATGAGGACACATTGTGGAATTAATTTGAGACAAGTAGATAAGGCAAATTGTAAAATTAATTTAAGACACTCAAGACGCAGTTATCTACAACAGGTATCTATAGTATAAATGAGGATAGCTTTGTAAATCTGTCTGTTTAAAAATATGTTTTTCCGTTAATCAGCTGTCGCCCCCATACGAACGACAACTCTCAAAAGTTGAGAAACTTGTGCGAGCTAAGGACTAACGTGGTCTTGCCTTTTATCATGTGATTCCTAACACGGTAAGTATGATTAGTTGGATCTTTATCTTGAAGATGATCACTTGGTGAGCGAAACACGTGTCGAAGTGTTGAAATAAGGGTTTGGTGTTGGGAAAAAACTCCAGTGATATTCATTACTACACCAAAGGTTCCAAATAGTGCATCATAAGTTCAATGTTCATATAAAGATTTATAGAAAAATAGTGTTTCGAAAGATCGTTTTCTTCCAGTTTGTGTCTGAAAGTAACTTATTTGAATGCTATATACATCTTTGTGGAGAGTTCATTCTGAAATCAACTATTTTTCTTCGTTTTTGGAAGATTCCCACATTTTGTTATGAATTGTGGATAGGTGGCTGGGGAAATCATTAACATATCCTACCCAGAACACGACGCGACCCAAAAAACGACGCCAAAAATTATTAATACCTATCTGTCAAGGACTGTAAGAGCAATGATGTACTGATCACGAGTATTTACTCTGAAACCGGTCTGCTGGCTTTGTCAGAGAAGTGCAAAATAATTTATACTTACTTTTCAATGCCCATGAGTCATCCTCGGAAGAATTTTTCCAGTTGTACGAGTAAAGTTCTAATGTAGATCGACATTCTTCAGTGAGACTGGCTTTTTTGTCTTTATTTTGAACCGTTTCGAGAATTATGTTTCCATAAATCTCAACAAGTAGTAAAAGCAGCACCACAATATAATGAATACTAGTTGTCATTCTGCTGCTTCCACATATTTTCTACTGACAGAACATCAGTTGAAAAGGTTTCCACTACATAAAGGTCAACACAATAAAAACGATTGTGTTTTTCATGAATAGGCAAAAACAGAAATGCTTTTTTTGGGGAAGTTTGTTCTTATATCGAGTGGTCCAACGAAAAGTATGCACCTTGCTTTTCTCCTTTTTTTGTAACTTAACGCAAAAATGCTCGGACCGGTCAATTTTGCTTTTGAGGGGGACACATTTTAGATGTATTTTTCTACCTGTGCCTTCAACCCCCTGGCGAGGGTGAGTAACGACCCTAAAATTTTAAATAGAAAGTGAGGTCGAGTGATATATCATTTGAAAGAGCACAAAATTCATATTCCAATGATATCTGATTTATTGTATTTATAGTTGTATGAATAGTTATAAAAAAAGCAAAAACATTTACTCGATATTTTTGGTGTTAATGAAAATGTGGAAAAAACGGCATTTTTGTCACTACTACATTCCTCAATTTCTCTCGTGCGTTTTTTGGTTCAAATAACAACAGCAGATAAGTGTACAAAAAGAATTTAGGCAAACGTTCATTGTGGTATAATTAAATATTCAATGGAATTCTGCGTTTTGTCTTACTCCTTAAAAAAAAAGAGATAAAATTCAAGTACCAAATTAGCTTTCATTTCGGTTTGATGAATATTCCGTAAAAGTTCATCGCCGTCAGAGCAGATAATTTCTGTATGAATGGTTGAGAAGTATTAATATGAAATATTATGGCTGATTTCCTCTTCTATTCAAGAACTATTTGAAAAGATTCAGTAGTGAATTACGTAACAAGTGAATGACAGAAGGAAGAAATTTATTTATATATCACATTGATCCTTGCCATGATTCACAGAAAATCATAACAAATGAAAAAAGTTTATTTTACTTCCACGTATTGCTTTGACATATTTCTTTAAATCTCTGCTGAATGAAGCCTCATGTTACATATGTAGACGGAGATCAAATTTAAGAAATGCATGTGAAAAATGTGATACCAAACATTTTCATTTTATCAACATACGGTGAATATTTCACCATGCAGTAAAAGATCAGAACTAATACAAAGTGTGACCCAATCATTTCCGTATACAGGAGTGCGCAAAAGTCCGGAATGAAATGAATATTTTTTCAACCAGTATTTTAGTAAAAAACAACGCTGAAACACGACAGTTGATTTCACGTTGTATGCATTTTTTGGCAATGAAATGATTTTTTTTCCAACCCCTTAGCTGCAACACTCCCCAACATTTTTTTTTCAAATGCAAACCTATGTCGTGTAAGGGCTCATTGAAAAGCTCGTAAAAAATGGATTCTGACCATACGCTTTATTTTTTTGTTGTTACAACGAAATGAGATAAAACTCTTTTGAAAAGTTACAAATACCCAACTTAGTGCTATCTACGGGTGAATTAACGTTACAGATGCTGAAATTGGCCTCCACCCTCTACTTAGGCGATGGTAAAACCCGTCTACGGAAACCCGAATGGCCTCAGCCGGTATGTTATGTGATTCAACTCCAATTCTGCTTTTTAGATCTTCAATATTAGCCGGCCTATTTTGATAAACCTTGTCTTTCGTGTATCCCCAATAGAAATAATCTAATGGTGTCAAGTCTGGGGATCGTGGCGGCCATTCATTTGTACCACGTCGTCCAATCCAGCGTCCTGCAAATATGTCATCGAGATATTCTCTGACATCAATACCAAAATGTGGGGGAGCGCCGTCCTGTTGGACCCAAAGTGTTTCAGTGGGGATATCTGGATCTGCTTCATTGGGAAACATAACAGCTAAAGCAGGGACCATTTCAAAGCGTAAAAAGTCTAAGTAGCGTGCAGCTGTAAGGTTTTCCTGGAAAAAGTATGGCCCCAATATTCTGTTGTTGATAATGCCCGCCCATACATTTACTTTCTGAGGACGATGCGTACGAGCTTTGCATATCCAGTGTGGGTTTTCCTGACTCCAGAATCGATAGTTGTGCCTGTTAACTACTCCATGTAAATAAAAAGTAGCTTCGTCCAAAAAGAGTATGTTGAGTGGAAACCCATTATTCTCGTCACATCGCCTCATTATTTCCTCACAAAATTGCAAACGCCTGTCATAGTCATCTTCCAAGAGTTCTTGGACAAGACATACCTTATATGGGTGGTATTTTTCTGTTTTCAAAAACCTCCCAATCGTACGTCTCGACGCAGGATTGTTTTAGGCTAATGAAACCGTTGACAAATGTGGATCTTCCTGCAGAGATACGACAATGTTCAATTTTTGATTTTCGTCTAAAACATGTGGCCGGTCACTTCTGGGCAAGTCCTTCACCGTACCATGTTCTTTAAATTTGTGTAAGGTCTTACTCGCAGTAGCCTGGGAAATGTGATTTTTCGTATATTTTGCATTGAATGAAGTACACACCTCACTTTGACTCCGCATTCTATCCCTACATCCCAACAATATCAAGACTTCGATACGCTGCCTCTCTGACAATACCATTTTTGTTTGGCAAATTGAAAAAGAACACTGTGAAGGTAGATAGGTAGGTAAGTCTAAAGTGAGTGGGTCTATTCGACCCTCCACCACAACCCATAAGGGTTTATTGTGGCTCACACCTATTCACACTCGGCCAAATAAACCCAGCTTCTTAGCGAAGCCGATTAGTTTGTATGGTGAGTGGTATTCACTTTGAAGGTACCCAATTAATAAACTAAACATACATATTTTCAATTTCACTCAGAAATGCCACAATTTTAAAACTGAGTCAAGACAATAGTTCTTATCAGGGCATTCATTTTGGTACAAAAAATGCAACAATCTTTTTTTTTTTTGAGGTACACTGGTCAACAATTGCTTGGGATTGCTATGTGTAAGTTTTTGGTGAAAAAATAAAATCCACGGAATGTTGATGCTACATTACGTTATCAGTTTCACACATAAATCAATAAAATTTGTTGTGGTGCCTGGCCCGGTTGGTCTGTTCTTAAAATTTGTAAACTTTCAGAAAGTAGGTACTGGTGATTCTTAGCAATTGTTGAGCAATGTACATCATCACCACTCATTTGTTTTTTGCAACGTCAATTCGCCCGTAGATAGCACTAAGTAGGTATTTCAAACTTTTTTGGTTTTAAAAGAGTTTATTCTCATTTCGTGGTAACCGCATGAGTAAAAAAAATGAAGGGTATGGTCAGATTCAATTTTTTACGAGCTTTTCAATGAGCCCATACACGACATAGGTTGGTATTTGAAAAAAAAAGTTGGGGAGGGTTGCAGCTAAGGGGTTGAAAAAAAATATTCCATTCCATTGCCAAAAAATGCGTACAAGCGTACAACGTGAATGAATTGTGTGATGTATCCATATGATATACGTATGATGCACTGTTTGGAACCTTTGGTGTAGTAATGAATATTACTGAAGTTTTTTTCCCAACACCAAATCGTTATTTTCAACACCTCGACACGTGTCGAGGTGTTAAAAATAAGAGGAAGATTAAACTGAGTTTAATCTTCCTCTTTGAAGATGATCACTTGGTGATCGAAACACGTGTCGAGGTGTTAAAAATAACGATTTGGTGTTGGGAAAAAACTCTAGTAATATTCTATATGATATAACAAGTTTTCCATTAATTCATTTTGTTAGAAAAGAACTTATATTTTTCGATACTGAAACGAAACGATAAAAATTTTTCAAGTAATCTGGATTGAAGCGGATGAGTTGTAACATTCCATTTTTCTACTCTCCATTTCATATTGGTTGCGGGAGAACCTCCAAAATTGTTGATTGTGCTACTCATAAATCAAAAGAAGAGAATACATATCTTTGCATTACAGAAGAATGGAAATTTCAAAATTCAACCAGATAACTCAATTCCAATATACACTATTCATTCATGTAGTTCTGAAAGTTGAGATATGACAGTATCTGAAAGAAGTTTTTGTGAAAACTCTACATAGAGAGTGTGGAGCTCTGTGCCACTTCCCCGAGCACTATTTTAGAGAAAAGTTAATAACCACTTGTAGAGTTGTCGTTGATCACGTTATTCGTTTGTGAGTATAAGTTTAGGACCTGGTAGATTCACAAAATCCACAATTCCACCACTAACGCAAACGGATGGTTCAGTTGCAGCAACATTCATAGAAAAAGCAAATTTACTAGCTATACAATTTGCGTCCTACTTCACAGTCGATATTTTCTAGAAAAGGCATCACACACTATTTCCACGCCATAATCCACAATGCCAGAAATTACTTTTTGACAACGTCTAGTTAGGCGAATTTTGGAACAGTTCAAAATCAACTAGGCGTCTGGTCCTGATGAAGTGCCCGTCATCGTACTAAAAAAGTGTGCTAATGAACTCGCATCAGTATTTTGCAGACTCTTCAACCTGTCTTACAAGAAAGGGGTTTTCCCTTCAGGTTGGAAGATTGCTCGTGTTCAACCTATTCTCAAAAAGGGGAAGGACAATCTTTCAAATAACTATGGACGAGTCGCTTTGTCATCAGAGATATCGAAAATCATGAAGAAAGCTGTAAACCACCATATCCTCAAATATTTGGGGGGCTTTAACATCTTGAGTGATTATCAATATGGCTTTCGGAAACAAAGATCCACTAGCGACTTTTTATCCTATGTCACCCATATTTGGAATAACGTAATCGAGAAACATGGAGAGTCGAGAACTGTTGCGCTTGATATTTCTACGGGTTTTGACCGTATTTGTCATAAGAGTTTGCTGGCCAAACTTCGATTCATTGACGTTTCCGTCGACGTGGCCGTCGATGGATATCTCTCGAAGACTTTCACCATCAACGCTGATGTTCTCAAGGGACCTTCATTTACTCCAACCCTTTTTATTGTATTTCAAAAATAAAAAAACATGAATCCAATATATTGCTTTGCTGACGATAGCACACTTGACTGGTCATTCCATTTGGATTCCATGACTTCGGCTGTGGATGCACATCGTCACTGGCAGCAGTAGGTTACATATCTTAATTTAGAAGTGATTTCGAATTGTGTTGAAAGTAACCAGG